TAAGTAAGTGTATAAGCCAATCAAAATAATTATAAATTATTTGCACTGCCATGAATTCGCATAACTTCACCTTGCTTTCTTTTTTGAATCCATTTATAAACAAAAATTCCAATTGTCATAAATATTACGGTACCAAAAATTCCACTTATTGTACCAATTGCAATTTTCATTGTATTTAGTTGATTATCATCACGAACAATTATAACGCCCGTAGCTTTTGCAGAAGTCGAGGATGATGTAGGATTGTATGTTGTATTTGATGGTGTGGGCTCCGGTTTAAATGTATCAACCCAGGTAAAGTTCCGAATATCTAACAAATAAAGTTTTGTGTTGTAATTTGGCTCGATTCCATTTGGTAATGTGATACTTCCTATATAATCAAATAAAATCATTTATTAATTTGTCATATATAAATTATTAAATGTTACTACATTTACCAAATGTCACAATCATATAATTTTCAACCAAATTTGCTGAATGATGTGTAAGTGATGGGAATTCACCAATGTTTGATGATACTTGCGGAACGGTCCATTCAAATGGAGTTGTTTGAGTATTTAAAACAGCAATATCTGGCATGACTTTAAGATATTCGATGTCTGCGGTTCGTCCTGACCCACCATAAATAATGATTTTTCCATCGGAAACTTTATTTATAGAATGTAAATTGTCACTAAAGTTAAGAATAATCATAAAAAAAATAAAAATAAAAAAAAAATTATACCTAAAATAGCTGAATGTTTTAAACGCGGTCCAATTTGTTCATTACTTTTTGTCTGCTAAATTTAATTAAACAAAAGTCTTAAAATTTTCATTTTTTTTTAAAAAATAATTATTGAAAGTATATTTACCATTACAGACCAAATTGCTAACTTTGTGTTATAAAGACTAATTTGATCTATTGCACGCAATCCACCGTTTACCAGACCTCCAACATATACAATCATACCATCTGGTAATAATGTTGCAGTATATGAACTTCGATTTTCGGGGGCGTTGAGAATAGGACCATATGACCATAATAAATCATTAGTATCTAACATTACCATATCATTAAACTTTTTTTCACCTGTTTCTAATCCTGTTAAACCATTGGAAAGTCCACCAAAAAAATAAATTTTTCCAGAATAATTAACGGCTTGCATATTCATTCGATTCTCCGGCTGTACTCCTGCGACTACTGGTACTTTCCATTGCCCGGATTTTGGATTAAATATATGAACCATTGAAGTAAATGAATTTTCATTATTTTGATTTTTCATGATTCCTCCAATTAAGTAAATTACTGGATTATCATCATCTTCACTTAATACAACAGTCGCGCTACTACTTTTAAAGCCCATTCCTGAGGTTGCTGTAAGGTCAGTCCATGGCAGAATCTTTGTATTAAATTGTTGAGATACGTCAAGAAAGAATACTTCATTTAAAACATTTAAAGCAAAATCACCATCTTTTGTACCACCAAAGAAATAAAGTTTATTTCCTACAAGTACTGAGGAATGACCGTACCGACCCAAAGGAATAAATGGTTCGACTCCAATGAAGTGGTAATTAAATGAAATAAAAAACAAATAATATAATATAAAAGACATTTTTCAAAGATAAGTGAAAATTTGGTGCTTGTGAAACTAAATTCAGGTTGACATAATATACGCCTTGATCATCTATTTGCATATCTTAAATATAAATGGATGATTAAATGTTGTGATCACAATCATTATACTCAGAATTATTGTATAATTATTGATATAATTCTTTTTAAGATCGAAAAAGGAAATCGAATAAAAAAATAGGTGACTATTCACAAATCATGTGGAATGTTACACAACTTTTTGATTTTTGATATTAATTCTTTCTTTTATTAGCCTTCTCGCTTCCGTATTTTTATGAAAAATGAACTTTAACATTTGTATACCTTTGAAATATAGTTTCATACTTATAATTTTCTTTGTTTGTTCTACTTTATTGGTAGTTGAATCATTTGCCCCTAATGGACGTTTAGCGCATTCTTCTGTCCTTGTAGAAGAAAAGCTTTACTTTTTTGGCGGCGCGAGTGATATAATTTCTCAAACCGCCAAAAGATATCTTTTATCTTGATGTATCTCAACCATTCGATAAATCAAATACTCCATGGGTTTACCTTGCTAGTATTCCAAGCATATGGACAACTGTTGCAACTGATAATATAAATAAAGATCCAAATATTTATTTATTTGGTGGCTTGATGGTAGATGATAATCTTAATTATTCATTTACTTCTATTATACATCTTTTTAATGTAAATTCCTCGACGTAGAGTATACCTCCTGTTAGCGGAATTTCACCTGAACGGCGAAGAGAAATGAAGACAGTTAGTAATAATGGAAAGCTATATATTTTTGGTGAAAGTACAAATAAATTATTGGGTTCACCGACAAGCAAATATTTTAATGATAATACTGTCGGTTTATCTTGGACAATTATTTCTCCAATTGACGCACCTAGAAAACGAGCTTCATATACAGCAACATTATTGCCGAATGGTTTTATTGTATATATTGGGGGTTATGAAATGAAAGAAAACAGAGACGTCTTTGATGTAGATATTAAACAAATTAATCTTTATGATACAAATTCTTTAACCTGTTCATTAAAAGTATGTATGAATTCTATTTAAAAATATTGTAAGAAATTTTTTTTATTTTAATTTTCAAAGTTTATGATATTAAGACTTCAAGATTTTCAAATCCGATCGAAAATCGTCGTGGTCATTCAGCTGTATTAGGTATTTATAATATAAGCTTTTGAAATTATTATACTGTATATTATAAATTCATTTTAATATTTTTTTTTTGTTTATAAAAGCTCCAAATGGTAAAATTATTTATGGAGGTTTTAAAGATGATGGCGATTTTTCCCAGATACTGCTGTATTAGATACAAGCATTGAACCTTTTGAATGGAGTGAACCAAATGTAACTTCAAATGTCGGTACGATTCCATCACTTGCATTTCATACAGCTGATCTCGTTGGAAATTATATGATTGTCGCTTTTGGTATGTACCGTACCGTTCCGAAATTATACAACCTTTTTTTGTTATAGGGTTGTTTAATTTCGGGTACTTTTAAAATAAAAAATTTAACTGAATTTAAAAAGAAATTTGACCTGTTCGGTCATGAATTAGGAACGCTAATTTATTTGCAAGAAAGCCGTGCATTTAAACGTCAAATATCATAAGATCGCTTGTGAAACATAATATAATATCGCGATTAAATTTAATCACGCGCGATAACGATAAATCACGAGCTCGTTAATAAACCAGTTTAAAAATTTACACAAATGCCGCCTCAAAAAAAAAAAGCAAAATCGTTTAAGTGCTGTTAATAAAAAAATAGTTAAACGACGCCGCAATTCATATGCCGTTGAGCAAAAGAGACAAGTTGTCACTTATGCTAAAGAAAATGGAATAATTAAAGCAGCAAATACTTTTGAACTTGATAAAGGTATGGTTAGTCGCTGCGTCAAGTCAAAAGAAAAATGGGTAAATGAACCAAACCAAAATAGCAAACTAGTTGGCTCTGGTCGAAAATGTTTTTACCCAGAAGCTGAAAAAAAATTATATGATTGGATTATTGAACAGAGAAAGCAGGGATTAGGTGTTTCATATACAATCGCGCGAGTTAAAATGCTGAATATTTTAAAAGAACCTGCTATGATGAATCTTTATGGAGATTCAACAAATGAATTTAAAACATCAAACCGTTGGATGTTTGCATTTATGAAGAGATATAATCTTTCTCGACGCCGGCGTACTAAAATTTCACAAAAGCTTCCATCACAAACTGACGAGTTATTAAAAAACTTTTATCAGTTTATCATACGCCTTAAGACTGAAAAAGTATTTGAGTTATCCAATATTCTTAATATGGATGAAACTCCTGTTTGGTTTGATATGGTAGGAAACTTTACTACTGATAATATAGGTGAAAAAACAATTCATATTCGCGGAACTGGCAATGAGAAAAATCGATTTACAGTTGTTTTGACATGTGCCGCAGGTATGAATTGTTTGACAATTGTTTTTTTTTAGCTTTTTTTACTTATCTAATTTTTTATATTATAGATGGAACAAAATTTCCACCAATTTGTATTTTTAAAGGAAAACGGTTATCTCGTGGTGAACAGATTCCATCTGGTGTTATTGTTTGGTTTCAGCAAAATGGATGGATGGATGTTATTTTAATGAAGAAATATGTAGATTTTATTAACGATAATCTAAGAATTAATAATGCTCCAACAATGATGGTGTATGATTCTTTCAGAGGACATCTTGAAGAATCAGTTAAAACCAAGTTTCGCGATATTGGTATTGATTTAGTGGTTATTCCAGGTGGTTTAACTAGCATATGTCACCACTTGATGTAACTATTAATAAGCCATTTAAAGACAATCTTCGTAAGGAATGCCATATTTGGATGGCAGAAGGTGGTGCAGGAGTTACTACATCAGGAAACCTTCGTCGTGCCAAGTTATCTGATGTTTGTAGGTGGGTAAAACGTGTTTGGGAAGGAATCCCAAATGAAATGATTATAGGGTCTTTTAAGACTTGTAAAATTTCGACTATTGATAAATCGGACGATAATATTACCGAAAGTGAAGATTCTGGTGATGATATCATTGATTTTGATAATGATATTGATAGTGTTTATAATGATAGTGACATAAATAATAATAATGATATTAACGATATTGATGACGATGAATAAATGTAGATTTTAATAAAAACAGTAATAATATAATGGTTTATAATAAATAAAATAAATTTTACAGAAAATAATAAAAAATTAAATTTATTAAGTGCATTTAACATTTTATTATAGAAATTTAAAGATTGCTTATTTTCGGATCTATATTAATTTGTTAGTTGCTTATTTTCGGGTTGTTTAATTTCGGAACGGTACGGTATTTTTTACACTAATTTATAAAAATAAGCTCTATTCATATATTTTTATTGTTTATTATGATAGGAAACATTACAAGAGTTAATTCTGCACCCTTGGGGCTTCGTAATTCTGATATTTATTTAATGGATATTAGAAACTTTACATGGGTGAATTTATTTGATATATTTGAATATAAAATCGATACACGTAAAAAATATGTAAAGAAAATAGTAATTGCAGTAATTTGTTCAATGATAAGTATTGGTATTCTTTCAATTTGTGGAGTATTACTTTATAGATGGCAAAAATTCAGAAGAGTAAACCATACGTTTGAACAAAAGAATAATCAGCATTTACCAGATGCAGTTATAAGTAATCCAAATAATAACTAATATGCTTATGCAATAAGTTTAATGTTTAATATCCCTTCACAAACATGACTTGACTTAATTAAATCTATTAGCTTTGAGAATAGTCGCTTATTAAGATATTATTAGTAATCAAAATATGCATTAATTTCTCATAATTTTTTTAAAAGAATGCTCGTGACTCGCAATTTGACAATTTCGGTAAGTTAAATTATAACATTTAATAAAAATAATTTAAGCATCAATTGCTTTACTTTTTCATAAACGTAATATGATAAATTTAAACAAGAATTTTATAATTCATTTGCTTAACAAGTCGAAATTGAAACATGAGACAGCTTCCATTTGCCAAATGTGCTATGCCCGCTACTATACAATACGATAATATTAATGCTGATAAAAATATATTGTAATAAAAAAATTATTCATTTATATAAAAAGAATTACCTTAGTAATGTTGAATTGTTATTTATTTACTTGGTTAAGCATTAATCCTAATTTGGAATTTTTTTTCTTTTTTTGTCTTTATGTCACCAAGATATTCATGGTCGGTCAAAATTTTTGACCGACCGACCGGTTCTTTGTTTATATCTTTATAAACAATAAATGTAAGCAGAATTATTTTATTGAATAAAATGAAGTAATTGTTATAATATAATATAAATTAATCAGTATTGCCTAAACGTTCTGGCATCCTATTAATACAACTGGCATCGTCAAAATGATCTACAAGGACTAACTGCAAATATCGAAAAATTATCTTCGGTAATAATTTTATTGTGTGGCGCAGCATTATCGGTTGAAGTTGTCGATAAACCAGTCAGGTGACCGTGGCTAATATCATGATTTCAAACAGTTAATATATGTTAAACAAATAAAATATAAATTTAATCATAAAACTTGATCTTATATTTTCTTTGAACAAAACCCTTTTGTATTTAGTGATTAGAACCTCATTAAATATTTTAACCGGTTAATTAAGTTCGGTTAATTAAGACTTATTTTAACCGTTATGGTTAAACGATTAAATAATTAATTGGTTAATCACAGTTAAAATTATTAATCGTAATTGTTAATTCAAAAATGCAATTAAGGATAAAAAATTTATTTATTTAAAATCAACTGATAATCAATAAATTCTTACATATCTTCTTTAATCATTGACTTGTTTATCCTTTAATAAAGGCGGGGAATCTGATTTCTCATTTTTATGGCATCAATATTTATTTCAGCAAGAAATTTTAGGTAATATAATGTCGAAACAAAGATGAAAATGTATTAATACAATTAACTAACTTTATAATATATATTTTTTAAAAAAAAATTATGTACTTATACATTTAAAAAAATTTATGAAGATAATTAACCGTTATAATTAGTCGGAATTAAAATTATTTTTATTATGTTTTCAATTCGGAGCCAGCAGTAACATCATAACCAATGATAAACACAGAAGAATGAGAATTAAATGCTTATGTATATCGATATTTTTATTCATAAAATTGATCATATTTCTATTTAACGGACGAGGCGCAGAAAATTGGTATTATTATTATGAAAACCAAATTATAATTTTTTACGTGTTGCGGCAATGTGGTATCACGATTTAAGCCTCACATTCCTTTCTTGCATGAATGTTTGTGCACTTTACAAATATGTAAAAAAAAAGACTTGATGAACGTGATAAATAATTAAAATCAAGTGATTCAAACATTTTTTCAGACGTTTTAGTCATTAAATCTATACGAAATTGTTTACTACGACTAATATGTTGATTTTATAGATTCTATTGTAGCGTGATGAACCGAAGGTGCAGATTCATATTTTCAAGTTAACTTTAATTATTAATTTTTATTCAATATTTGGTTTATAGCAATGATTTTTTTTGGATTTATTATAGGAACCGACACTTCGCAAAATAATTCCATTTTATTCGGTTCTGATTTAAAACCAGATACAATACAAAAACCAGATCAAAACTATAAATCCAAATAATTTCGATTCCCAACTTCTAGATATTATTGCGTCATTAGTTTAGTTAATCCAGTGTTAACCTGAAATTACACCGAAACCAAGTTTAACAAGTAATCATTTACATCTAACCAAAGGCCCGTCCAAAAAAGATTTATACGACTATTTTGAGGGTTATATTTTATACTTTCGAATGTATGTGTAGTATGGTGCTTGTTTTTATGTATTTATACTTAAAAAAATTTACATTTATTATTATTTCATAACAAATATACATGTATGAAAAAAAAAAAAAAATACATTCAAACCATATTATACAGGATTCCTATTTTGATTATTACGATTCAATAGTGTGGAATAAGAACTTTATCAATGTAGAACTACAGGACTATTTTGCATAAAATTTCATATCTAACATGGATCATGTTTATACCATTTAATGCAACAGTTGCCCATACGCTTCCAAATGGAAGGCTAGTAATGGTGAATTTGATTTATCAAATGGCTGAGATACATCAAGATAAAAAAAATCTTTTGAGATTTGAAAAATTTATAATTTAGTAATACCACCAAAACCGCCAAAAAAATAAAGCTTATCCTCTACAAGGATGGAAGAATGTGCCAAACAACCTTTATGAGTAAATGATTCGATTCTCAAGATTATAGAACAAAGTACGAAAATAATAAACATGCAACGGCATTTTAATGATACGCTCATAATTTGTAATAAAAAAGGTAAGTCAGAAATAAAAAAGCTAATGATGATCACGTTCCAGACATTCTTAAGTTTTGATAACTGCTGATAAACTTCTTCTTCAAGACTAGTTAATTATTTGCAAAAATATTTAATTTGAAAATGAAACTGAATAGATGGAACAAATTTTGAATTTACTCATAAAGTAAGTTTTCAATCAATTTTTAGAACTTCAAATTTATTTAGCAAAATAAAATAATAAAATCAATTCAACGAGTCCTTTTGTACAGCTCGATCTTATAAGAACAGTACTAGGAATCATTAACTTTAAAATTTTTGTTAGTTCTTGTATATTCATCTCGAATTTATTTTTATAATTTCTGGAATTTGTCCAGAATTTGCCGTAGTGTCCAGATAATGTCCTGAATCCACCATGTTTCGGTATAAATTCCGGACAATATCAAGACATCACGCGATGTCTGAAATCCACCATGTTTTGGTACACTTTCCGGACGATTGTGACATTTCCTGGACATTTTCCACATGCACTCGGACATTTTCAATAACATTTTCTGGACAATTATTTTTATATAGGGGTATTTTGAACAAATTAAAACTTGTTGCAAAATAGAATACTAATTAATAAGGTCTTTAAATATTGATGTGATGTATTACTTCATTTGTAGGAACGGGAAGACTTTACTTCTAGTTCTTGGTTCAGCTTTGAATTCAGAAAATTTCTGTAATTAAATTCCAATGTACTTAGTCAAATCTTTTATTTATAGAGTTTAAATGATTCAATCGAATACTTTAATAAAATTTATGATTTTGTAGGCGCGCATTAAGATCATGAAAAGTACTTTAGAAAGAATAATTTAATAATTTGCAGAAAAATACGACGTTTCGGTACGTTTTAAAATTATAGAAACAGTACGATCCAAAAATACTCATATACCCAAAGAAAAGCCCTATTATTCCATATTCAATAACTGTTAGGTTTATTCATTAAAATAAGCTCATTACTGGATTATGTATATTGATATGTGTCACAAATTTAATGCATTTATACCTCATAAACTTTATAAAATGTAGATAGTTTTCACTATTAAATTACTAATCCATAATGTTAAATTACTACATTTGTTATTTTGAAAAATTTTTGTCGTTCATTGATCTAAGAAAATAAATTAAATGTACATGAACTTTATTTATCTATTTAATTGATTTGTTATCGTAAACTTTAAAGAATAATCTTAATAATTTAAATAATAAAAAATGTAATGTTAATAGTTATAAATTATTATTATGCATTTAGTTAAAAAAGGAGGGAATTTGAAATTTTTATCTAATTTTAATTCCTAAAGCACATGACTGTGAAAATTTTTCATCAAAATTTAGATTTCCTCTATTTTTATTGACAACCGCTCACATCTTTTTGTTTTCGCTTTTGATACCATTTATAGCCCAGGATTACAAATGTCATTAAAATAACGGCACCTAATATTCGGCTCATTGTACCAATTTTAATTTTCATTTTATTTAGCTGATTGTCATCATGAGTCATTATAACGGTAGCTTTTGCAGAATCCGAGGATGAAGTAGGATTGTATGTTGTATTTAATGGTGTGGGTTCCGGTTTAAATGTATCAACCCAGGTAAATTTCCGATTATCTAATAAATAAAGTTTTGTGTTGTAATATGGCTCGATTCCATTTGGTAATGTGGTACTTCCTATACAATTAAATAAAATCATCTATTAATTTGTCATATATAAATTAATAAATGTAACAACGAGAAGTCATTTACCAAATGTCACAATCATATAATTTTTAACCAAGTTTGCTGAATGATAAGCAAGTGATGGGAATTCACCAATACTTGATGATACTTGCGGCACGGTGAGTATTTAAAACAGCAATATCTGGCATAACTTTAAGATATTTGATGTCTGCGGTTCGTCCTGACCCACCATAAATAATGATCATAAAAAAAATGAAAAATTTATACCTAAAATAGCCGAATGTTCAAAACGTGGTCCAATTAGTTCATTATCTTTTTTGTCTGCTAAAATTAATTAACAAATGTCTTAAATTTCATTTTTTATAAAAGATAATCATACAAAGTATATTTACCATTACAGACCAATTTGCTGACTATATATCGTAAAGAATAATTTGATCCATTGCACGTAATCCACCGTTTACCAGACCTCCAACATATACAATCATACCATCTGGTAATAATGTTGAAGTATATGAACTTCGATTTGCGGGGGCGTTGAGGTTAAGTCCATATGACCATAATAAATCATTAGTATCTAACATTACCATATCATTAAACCTTTTTTTACCTGTTTCTA